ACTAATCACATTAATACCCGCACAAACTAAATGTTTGCTTAGGAATATCATATAAAATAACGTTAGACTTGAAGTATCAAAGTAAATATGTAAAACTGGAATAGAACATAATTCATAATCAAATTTACATTATTTCTTTGGGGGGGGTACTTTCTTAGAATTTTTTCATCTGTGTGAGTGTGTGCGCACCTGGAAGTCATGTCGACCTCTGGTGACTGACCCCTGTAGGGGGCCTGGAAGATATTCAGATAGGTGGCTGAATAAAGCCTGCCCCCGCCTCCTGACTGCTGGTATGCCAAGGAGGTCTCCCAGCCAAATACTTGCCAGAGTTGACCCTGCTTAGTTTCTGAGATCTGGTGGGATCGGGCTTACCTGGGCTATACAGGTCAGGGTGAAATTAACATTATTTGTCTTATACCATCCACCATTTTAATTCTAGTTTTGACTGGGTGACAGAAGTGCTGTGGTTCCATTCCCCAGGAAGTCCTCTTTGGCCTTCCCATAGTGCTGTGCTCTCCTCACAGGGCCTTCTCACTGTGCCACCTCTCAGAGCTCAGTTCCCAGAGCTATTACCCTTGCCTGCTTTGCCTTCTCTTGGTGGGCTTTGTCACCCTCACTGGCTAGAGCAGCTTCCTCTTGCCCTTCCAAGACTTCCCCTGCAGTTGCTGCCTCCAGTCCCACAGCCCATGGCCAAGGGTGCTTCAGTGTTCCCAACTGTTTCTCTGCCAGGTGCCCACAGCTGTATTCTTACACACACACCCCAGTTGTTCACTGCCACCTTTTAAATGTTAGGCTCACCGGCACAGGTTGGCCCCCTTCCACAGATTCTCCTCACCCTCAGCAGCCCGGCCACATTGTCTTCCAGTCGAGCTGTGGAGCCCTCCTGATGCTGCTCAAACCGCATGGGCCTGTTCTGTTGACTACAGTGTCAGGTTCCCAGTCACATCACTTTCCACACACACTTTCTTTGGTGAAAGGTTTATTTAGAGATTTGAGATGCTGATGGGTTCAGACTCTTTGTCAGGACTGAGGTGCAAAGGCGGGAAAGCAGCGTATAATTACCACCCCAAAATTCCATTCGTACACGTCAGCAATACTACAAAGACCGTGAAAGATATACGGTCTTTTACTAGCCAAACACAGACTCTGCTCAAGGACACTTCCCATGTGAAAAGATGTCTTCGAGGCGCCATGGAAGAGTTACTGAAGCTATCCTCCCTAAACTCTACAGGCATTCACACACACCCCAGGAATGCGATGGCAGGCGAGGGCCAGCGATAAGGACATAGGAATAACAAATGGTTGGGAGCAGGGAGTGAATGGGATACACAGGGCATGATTATACTGGGTTGAAACATAACAGGTGTGACTGCACTGGGTTGGAATACAGCAGGTACAGTTGGACAGATGCCTGAGTCTGACACACAGACTACTTCAGCAGGCTTGGAATGGCGTAACTCTGCTTAGGACTGCACAGTTCCCTCAAGGAGCTTGCAGTAGCCCGAAGGAATTCTTGATATTTTTTTCTTTGAACGGCTGATCCTTCTGTTGTGTCACAAGTAGCTTTTGAAATTTTCCTCGGTTTCGAAAGCGAGTTTGTCACGCACCACGAGAAAGCTGGTATTTGAAAACGAGTTACTTGGGCTCAAGTAGTGCCCCATGTCTTTGGATCCTGATCTTTGCTTACAACTAGAGCACACCTTGCAACTTCCTATATTCAGTTCAGTTTCCTAACAGGGGCAGGTGCAAACCACTAAGAACACTGAGACCAGAAAAGGTTCCAAATCTCTCACATTTCAGAATACAATGATAGGCCAGAGATAATGGAGAAGATCCTCACATCCCTTCATGGTGAGAAGAGCAATACGCAAGTAGCTTTTGAAATTTTCCTCGGTTTCAAAAGCGAGTTTGTCACGCACCACGGGAAAGCTGGTATTTGAGAAAGAGTTACTTGGGCTCAAGGAGTAGTGCCACATGTCTTTGGATCCTGATCTTTGCTTACAACTAGAGCACACCTTGCAACTTCCTATATTCAGTTCAGTTTCCTAACAGGGGCAGGTGCAAACCACTAAGAACACTGAGACCAGAAAAGGTTCCAAATCTCTCACATTTCAGAATACAATGATAGGCCAGAGATAATGGAGAAGATCCTCACATCCCTTCATGGTGAGAAGAGCAATACGCATATTGTCAGCGTATTGGAAGCGCAAATAATGACTCAATCCAGAGTTGGCTACTGCTGAACTATTTACAGTGGTTTATTTACAGCAATATATACGTACATACAGTCCATATAGCACTTGCAGTATCCAATTCTCCAGGCAAACTGACAAAGTGCTTCGCATATAATCCAATTCACAAGAGTGATGAAGAACACACAGACTGTACTGAATATATACGTCTCAGCACCAATCAGATTGAAGTGCTGACTCATGGTGACAGTAGTCAGGATGATGCAACCTATGCTCTGGTGACTTGTCACATGACACTCCATCTGTCACCACAGATCAAGATGATCTAATAGACTACCTTTACCTTTACCTTGGCTGTCATCTTGCTTGCTATACATCATAGTATGCCGTCATCTTTTCAGGGCTGTGTTGTCATTGAACATAGAAACTCAATTTAATCAAGGTAGAGAGAGCAATCAAGCAAAGATCCATTTTGATGTTTGAAGCCTGATGCGTATACTGAAAAGGACGGGGAAGAACATAAGAGACACCAATGTTGGATCAGGCCAAAGGCCCATCCAGTCCAACACTCTGTGTCACACAGTGGCCAGAAATACCAAGTGCCATCAGGAGGTCGACCAGTGGGGCCAGGACACTAGAAGCCCTCCCACTGTTGACCCCCCCCCAAGCACCAGGAAGATAGAGCATCACTTGCCCCAGAGCCCCTATCTATACCTTGTGGCTAATAGCCACTGATGGACCTCTGCTCCATATGCTTATCTAATTCCCTTTTGAAGCCGTCCATGGGACAGAAGCTGATGCTGTACTTAGGCTCTGGCCAGTTTGTTCATGAGGTTGGGGGGGGGGGAAAGGTTCATATTCTTGGGCTTCTGTGTTTCCACCCTCACAGAGCCACAATCAACAGATTTTTCTGAATTCAGGGAGTCTCTGATTTAGCTCCAATTGTTGCAAGGTCTGATTTGGATTCCTTGACAAATAGGGGCTTGTTTCTTTCCCAGGGAGTTGTAAATCAAGATTAAACTACATCAGATTGGAATTAAATGAAAGCAGGCAGGCTGGAATGAATGGCTCTCTGTGTGAGCAAAGGGAAGGGGAATCCATGAATTACAGGATTTGCTATTTGTTCACTGGAGGAACAAACTGCAGTTGGATTGTGAAGTGTAAAGTTAGCCTGATGCTGTCTACTAAATTACGAATTAGAAAACCTGCTTGAAAGCACCCTCATTTGAAAACCAGAAGGTGAGGTCATCTTTGTTCAATAAATGTATGTTACTTATTTTCCTCTCCTCCCTAGGTGTCCCTTGTGCTCAGCCAGACGATGCTGAAGTTGCTCGGAGTTTAGGTCTGGCTTCTGAAAATGTCATTGAAGCTTTGCCAGATGGCTCAGAGAGACTGGCCAGCTCAGGCGAGGTTGGTTGGTTTGTTTCATCATCCCCCCACCCCCCAAGGCTGCCTGGGAACAACTTTCAGCTTAAAAAAAAAAAGAATGAAAACAACCGTGTGACTTGAAATAGGAGATACAATAAATAAATGCAGAACATGCAATTCATTTACAAAGGCTGCAAATGCATTGAGTGGGTTTTTAATGCTAGCTTTCCTTGGTGTACACTGGAGTGCTTTAGAACAAGACAGTGGGTTGGATCCAACCAGCTTTTCTGCTGGTGAAAAGGAAAGGGGTGCCGTGTGTGTGTGTATGAGAGAGAGAGAGAGAGGTGCTGTCAAGTCACTTCTGACTTATGGTCACCCTATGAATCAGTGTCCTCCAAAATGTCCTAATGTTTGCAGTCTTGCCCTCTTTAACCAGCCCAAAAGACAGTGCAGAGAGTCATGCATGTATAAAAGCGACTTAGGATGGCAACTGTAGTATGTCAGAGAATGTCATGAGATGAACTAAAAAAGCTGTCTGGATCCAGCTAACGGTAACGTTAGCGTTCATTAAAACTTCCCATATTGGGCATCCCGAATATTTTCCAAGTATTGAATGGAAGAGGTATTGACTAAAAGTTTCAAGTCGTAATCCAGAGAGTTCTGTGTGGAGGGACCCCACGTCCAGGGCGCAGGAGTGTTGCCGGTTTTCCAGGTTCCATTGCAGCCCCTTGTGCCACATTGAACGTTGCTCCAGAAGGTCTCCCATCCTTCAGGAATGGTTTTTTGGAGTGTGTGAGTGACAGGAGTGAAAGAGGGCCTAGAAAGTCCCACTGCAAAGCTCTTCTCCCGCAGTGCTCTCTGGCTCCTGGTCTCAAACAGTTGTAGAAATGTATGACTGCATAGCATATAAGAGATATCCATTTTATACTTGGCAGATTATATTTGAAGTCAGGGAGAAGAAAGAAGTTCTAGGAAAAGAGCTTTTTGATTCCTCCTTAGCCCCTAGGAACAGAGACCTATCGAACTTTTTAAACCTAAAAAGTAACTGTTGTGTTCTGTAGACTTTGAAAAGAGAACAGAAAGAGGAAATCTTTGAAAATCCATCGGGTCCACATATAGAATTCCACTTTTTTGATCTGTGGTTGGTGAAATGTTCCTTTCCCTTCCCCTCCCCACAACAGACACCCTGTGAGGTAGGTGGGGCTGAGAGAACTCTTGACAGAAACTGCTCTTTTTCAAGAACAGCTGTGCCAGAGTTATGGCTTGCCCAAGGTCATCCAGCCAGGTGCAAGTGGAGGAGTGGGGAATCAAACCCAGTTCTCCAAGATTAGAGTCCGTGCACTTAACCACTACACCAAACTGGCTCTTTGGATTTTCAAAGAGGAAATCTTTGAAAATCCATCAGGTCCACATATAGAATTCCACTCTTTTGATCTGTGTGGTTGGTGAAATATTTGCCATACATAGGAAGATGACCCTGCCTACCTCAGCAGCATGACTGGGTACAGAAATGGCTGTCCTTGTCAGTTCACAGGTATGAGTAGACAAGAAGCAATAAGCGCCATTACCCAGGAAGCCAGAAATAAAGGAGTAGGAGGACATCTAACAAGCAGTAAATTAAAAGATTGGCTGGTATCACGACAGCGTTACTGGGGGACACCAATTCCCATCGTTCACTGCCAGAGCTGTGGTCCTGTCCCAGTGCCTTATGAGGATCTACCTGTGAAGTTGCCCAACATAACATCCTTTACAGGAAAAGGTGGCTCACCTTTAACTTCTGCTGCATACTGGATAAACTGCTCATGCCCAAGGTGAGTGTTCGCTTCCCGTAAGTACCCTGACTGTAACGCGGCTATGAATAATTCACGACTTTTCCTTCCTTATGCAAGTCCTTTCATGTGATCTTTGGTTTGAGGAGTAGTAACTGGTTTAGAAAACTGATTGTAGAGCAGGAAGCTTTATTTGCTCAAAGAGCTTTAGGCGGATGGCTGTGTTGTTCTGCGGTAGAAGAGCAAGATCCGAGTCCCGTAGTACTTTAGAGACCAACAAGGTTTCCAGGGTATCAGCTTTCTAGAGTCTGACGAAGAGTCTTTCTGATGAAGGGAGCCTTGACTCTCAAAAGCTTATACTTTGGAAATCTTGTTGGTATTTGAGGTGTTATCAGACTTGAATCTTGCTGTTCTACAAATGACACTTTCTCATGGTTGTAATTTCTTTTCTGAGCATTGCCGCTTGTCAAAACTACGCTGTTCAGAACCTTATTTCCATGTCTGTTTTCCATAACCGAAGAAGTAGTTCAGTTCCTTATTTGTATCTATTGCTTTTGCTAAGGAAATGAGGATTGTTATTCATTTATTGGTATGAATCCAGGACAATACTCCCTGCACATATTACTTTTGTCCCGTGTGTATGAAAAATATGTACCCATCCTTTCTGTTTCATTTTACTACAAATCCAAGTGTCAGAACACTGCCTGTCTGCGTAACAAAATATTATCTCCAAGTAGCAAAACTGTAATTTGTGAAGATGTACCTCGGACAGTACTTTGGGCATAGATGGCAGGCAATTGTTGGAAAGCTTTTCCCACCCTATTTCAGCCTTTTGTTTGCTTGATTGTTGTTGATTCTAAATTCAGATTTCCAGAATTACACATTCATTAGGAAAACTAGATCCCTCTTGCCTAGGGCTCAGCGAATGGTGGGCATGTGTGGGTGGAAATAATTTTCCTGTATCCTTGGGAGGCTCCTTTCTCATCACGCATATAATGGAACATTGCTCTCAGCAGAGTTGACATGATGAATTCTGTATTGTTAGGCTGCCTGGTTGGCGCTGTAAGTGATCTCAAGTCATTCACACTTCAGAAATCAGAAGCAGTAAACCTGTCACTTTCTCTGGACATTCAAAGGCGAGCGAAGAGATGCTTTTTGGTAACGAGTTGCCTCAGCGTTGTGACTCATGAGGACCTGCTTTTGTTGCAAAAGGCATTTGAGAGCAAGAGGAACTCAGACACTGGCAGATTTCAACAAAAGAAATTCCTCTCAGTATATATCTTTTCTGTATAAAAAGCCAGTGGCTAAAATAAAAGTTAATCTTTGTTAAAAGAACAGCTAATACAAAGTCATGTTATTGATGGTTCTGAAATTTAACCTGACCTCCATTTCACCTAGGCTTAGCTTTGGAAACGGGTTTCAGTAACAGGCTGTAGCCATGGGACATTTAAGCTAATAACAGTTACTTAGAACATCTTTTCTCTTCACCAGGTATGGGCAAAAACCAGGAAAATGGAGGTTCGTGGGGTTCCCTTTAAATGGCTTTAGCAAGCCGTGCGGTGCACAAGTGAAGTCCAAACGGCGAGTTCACCCAGAAGTGTATGAACTCACTGCTTGGACTTCACTTGCACATGAACCATGATCCTTCACTGCTTGGACTTCACTTGCACATGAACCTCTGTGGAAAACATGGAGGTTCATTGCTGGCATGATCACATGACCCTCGGATCACAAAACAGGCAATTTCGTCACAAAATTAGGTTCGTGAGCCCGTTCGTGCCCATCCCTGCTCCTCACCAGTGAATGCTACTCTGCACATTCAGAAGAACAACCTTCCTAGAATTGTACCAATTCATAATGCAGCTAGGGGATCCCATTGATTAAACACTGCCTGTTGAAAATTAGTGTTTCAGGGAGAGCTTGCTGAATTTAACTTTTTTCCAAATGGATTGTTGTAAAAAACCCAACTTTCTCAATGGGTTTTTAAAACATTTTTAAATGTAGTAATCTGACCTTATTATGACAACCAGGGCCAATGAACACCTAGGTAAAGAAACATGAATCCTTGTTAATTTGTTATATACAACTTTGACATGTTTGTTCTCTGTGTGCAGGTAATTTCTTAAATACAATTATTCAGAGTCGTAGTCCCCCACACACATACACATACTTCTACGAAATGACCCCTGAATACAATTATTCAGAGTCGTAGTCCCACACACACACACATACACATCTGTATTCCGCATAGTACAGTCCTAGGAATTTTTTGCAGGGGTCTGACTGTGTCCATCAGGTTTGAGTAATTATGACCTACCCCACACAAACATGGGATTTGGAGAAAGAGGTTTCTAGGCCAGAGGAACTACCTAGGAAGGACTGGTATACGTTGACCAACTTTTAATATCCTGTATGTAGTAGTCAAGTTGGCTGGAATACTGGTGTCTCTCCATGGCCCATTCTCTAAATGAATGTGTTGCTTCTACAGCGTGTTATGAAAACAAAAGTACCCACTTGGTGAGAGTGTTTGACCTATCTACCCTATGATTCCAATACAGCCTGTGACATCAAGACTGAGGCAGCTAGATGAGTGAGAGAGAACTATGTGTCTAATACTATGGGAATGAAATGACTACCAGGGGTCAGATAAAGGGGATCTTTCCTCCAGGGCAGGAAGGTGGAAAGGACAAACAGTAACTTCTTTAGACATTTCAATTTTTGTTACAATGTACTCCTGGGAAGTTAATAAGTCTTATTTCCCAACTTGCAAAAAAAGAAGAAAAGAAAACAAAACTGCTGTGTGTTCAGGCTGTTCTTATATAGAAGTCTGTGTGTTCACTCATTTTGCACTGTCCCTGGGGAGGAAACAAATTACTCCCAGGACTAACTAAAGTTCTGCAGTAGGTGTAAGAAATGTAAGCAGTGTCTGAATATTCATACTTCGTAGGTTTGGTTTTATTATCAGTTTGCTTCCCTCTCATCACAATCAGTGGCTGTGGTGTCCCATGCTCTCCAGCTGTGCTGAACTAGGCAGGAAACCTGATGATATCTAAAAGCGAATGGATTGTTATCTTAGGGATCTAGATACAAAACTGTGTGCTTATAAAATGATAGGAATGGCTTCCAGGCTTTGAAGACCAGGACTGGAGTGTTCTTCCCTGCCAGGTACGTTCTGTCTTTGCTGGGGCTGCCAGTGGGTTTCAGACTCCCACGCTGCTCAGAAGCAATCAGCAGCAGCAATAGTTTTTCCCTCTGTTCTTTCCACAAGGAACAGATTGTTGCTATTCCTGTGAATATTCACTGGAACGCTGATATAGAAGGAAGCTGACTGTAGTTCCTGGACATTCTGGAGTTTCACGACTGTTAAAACAAGGGTTGTGAACAACTGAACCCTTGTTGGAAAGATCCTTTGTTGTTGTTTGTAATAAATGTGCATAAATTTGTGGCTGGCTTCTGAACATTTCGAGAGAGCTCAGAAATTGATTTTGCATGTTCACGGACACAGGAATTCCTGAGCGATTCGCACGTCTGATTGCTTCACTTCTGACGAGAGGAGCAAAGCAAGGGCTTGAAGCTCCTGCCTCTGATGAGATCTCTGGGCCTCTGGCTTTGTGTGTTTGGTTAGAAGCGAGGCTTGCAGAAGCACGAGTAAGATATCTGTGATTCTCACTTGTAACGTGCAAATTGGTTCTCAGGGAACAGAACAGCATTGAGTTTTTATCTCTGCGGGACTCTAATGACGATAATATGCGTTCCTTAGGTGTAAGGGGCCTGCAAAGAGAGAAACAGACACCATGGATACATTTGTTGATTCTGCTTGGTATTATTTAAGATACACCGATCCTCATAACTCTGACAGGTAAGTCATTTACACGTGCTGCATGCAGGAAT